GTATCAAGCAAATCGAATGGATGACCATTTTGGCAGACGACTCACTTGCGCGAGTAGAAAGCACACGCTAGCTGATTACGCCAGAGTGAAGGTTCAGTCACGTCACATGCATACAGTCAATTCTATAGGTTATTCTCGTAATCGGTGTAATCATCTTATTGCACTGGGTCTCACGGCGTTACGGGATAGGGAAACTCCCTGAGCGAGTTAGTAGTGGCATAACCTTCAATCTGACGAATCGACTTATGGAACGAAACGACTTGTGAGACGAAACCACTTGTGGGACGAATCAACTTTCATCGGGACGAATGTGATTTGTAACGAATCGATCCTCCCCAGGGAAATACAAGGTATATGGCAACACGGGACGATGGTTACCAACCTTGTCTCAAAGTTTCAAACACAGTATTGTTTCGGATATGCTGTCTTTTGCATTCATTTTTTATTTATTTTTTAAAAACACCTGATTGTAGAAAATTCGCAGACATTACTAATTACCTTTTTCTCTACACTAGTTTGTTAATGTTCGAACCATAACCATAATAAAGGTCACAGGCGAAGTTTACACGTAGTTTTGTAGTACTTCAGTTTTTTAATACTATGTAACAAAGCCATGCATGCTAAAATACTCATAAACACATTGTTGACTTCACTGAATGTTTTTGACCAAATGGAATATGTGCAACAATAAGATGACGTCAAATGTCATGTGACAATCAGTAAATAAAATCTTGTTCAGGTGCTTCACATTCAGAGTATGAAATGCGTGAGTACAATTAGCAATGAAATACACGATTTTCGTAAAGAGTAATAAAGAGGCGGAAAATGTTTACTGGTTAAGTGAGGTAATGTCATGTCTGTTTATGTTTTGGAGTAGCACTGAGGGTGTTCAAACGCATAGATGCTGTGATTACGCGCTTTACTGAAAGTTGTAGTGGTAGGTAGTGCAAGGTTGCAAAGAAAAATGATGTGATTCTTGTTTTACCACAGGGACAAACGATGACACGGGAGCCATATTATATCGCTTGTCATGGATCGAATACCGTTGATTATTGCAGAAAGTACTAATATAACAGAAGACTCAGATGTCATAGTAGCTCATGAGATGTGCATATATATGCGTTTTGATTGGTCTGAGATCTGATATCAAAATGCGTATACATCAATCTTTACACTGCGAACCAAGCTGAACTATTTCCACGCGTTTGTGTTGGATTCATTATGATAAATGATTTCTGCCAGTTCAAATGTTGCATAACCTTTATTAATGTATCGATAATTCTATCTACTAAAATACAATGTTATTCATGTGTTATGTCTATAATGAAGTTATATAATGTATAATCTGTTAAAAATTTCATACATCACTAAAATTGAACCAACATTTCAAAATGAATGATATATAGTTTAAATGACAATCCCAAATGCATTATTGAGAATTGGGATGATAACGACTACTGAGACGAGTGTAATAGAATAACATAAGGCAATATGGTAAAAGTCAAGATAAAAATAACGTAATAACATAAAAATAACATTTTTGCATATCACGCAATTCTTTGACGCCTGTGAAAACATTATTTGGATACAGAGTTATAGTCAGTGTTCTGTTATACATATTTTACAAGGGAGAGGACACTATATGCCAGTTAAAATTGGTTCATTAGTGTTGTAACAGTAATATTCACTAAGTTATCATCACAAAAATAGCTCCGCCCACATATCAATTATCAAAGCAATTGATAGTTTTCAAGAAAAAGATGAAAATATAATTGTTGATGGACGATGGATAGATGGTGGACTACGACAATCACCTATGTTAAAAAGTAAGCAATAAATTATTTTTTCCCAATGCAGACTAGCATACCGAAAGACACATGGCCTAATTCAGGACCTGCCACAGTTCCATAAACCACATAAATTGGATGGTGCTATTCCACCATGGCAATATGACATAGCATCATTATCTACTATTGTATCATAGAGCAGATCATTTACTTTTGCAAATGTCGAGATGAACATTCTCTGTATTTATATTTTTACTTATTACCTGATCAATAGTAGAACAATCTGTGTATTTATTTGTAATCACGCTTAATCTTGTGATATTTTTGTTCAGTCGAAAAACGTTGTCTATACCTGGTAATAAACATCCCTCAAGTATTAATAAACTTATGGACTGTTTTTCGCTATACCACCGAGAAGTATTTCCCACTTGTTTTGATCGTCTTCACCAATTATTACATGCAAAGATTTAAATCTGCACGATTTGTGTTGGAGTATAGACGCTAATGTATAAAGTGTACTGGTTTTACATGTGGGGAGTGGCACACAGATATCTCTTTTGATAAAACTTGTCAACTTTTTTATCAATTGTGAATTACACTTTGATTCGTAGATGCACTCCAAAGCTAGACAAATGTACTCATCTACGTTTTGTTTGATTTTGGATACATTTATGTCTCTATCCTCCAAGGACAAATATGTCTCATAAACCATGTGAACAGAATTGATAAGATGAGCTATATCCGCATCTTGATTATTCATATACCCACTTGCATGCACCAATACATTATACGAGTTAGAGTACGCAAGAGTTTCTATGTGACGTTGTCTTTTTTTCCCGGGAAGATGCATCAAATATCTGGCTGCGAATCTCTCTTGTATAGTTTTATGTGGGAACACTAAAAATGTGGTGGTTTTTATTATTGCAGTACTCAATTCCTCAGTCATAAATCCCATCTTGTAAAATAGACTATCCTTGTATCGTTTACGTAGGTTACTTTCTTTAAATCGATATGTCTCATCCATTATTCCTTCAAATGCTATTTCAGATATTTCATGCAAAAGTGTCTGACACTCGTCAGGAATGTCATTACCAGGCATTTCAATTCCCATTTTCATACAGAATCTCCTTGTTACACAATATTCTAACAAGTTGAACAACTCGTGTTTTGTTTGCGGCATCGTTTTATTTTCTTGCCAAATAATACACAGCAGGATTATATTGAGTGGGTTGGAGGCAAGATCCTGCAGATACAAAGATGTGCGAATTCCATCAACAAGCTCACTGCAACATGACTCCTGAACATTGTGTTTGAAATATCTATGGATGAAATCAATTCCATTGTCAAGTGTATAGCCATTGTTTACAATGAACCTGTCATAACATAATTGTGGAATATGCATATCTTTGTCTGGACGTGAGGTCACAAGAACAGTAACACGCTTGTAGATTTTACGATCTATAAATTTTTTGATGTCAGTTCTGATGTTAGAGTTAAGTTCATCTATTCCATCAAGTATTATAGCAACTCTTTCCTGGTGATTTTCAATGAAATGAAAAAAGTCATTTCTTACATCATCCTTCATATCATGAGGTAATAACTGGTCACTTATTGCGTCTTTAATAGTACCTGTCATCTGTCGAACCTCAATTAAAAGTACTACATCAAAGTGATTCACCATATAGTAGGCCCCTGTTGCCCAATCGTAGGCTAATTTTCGGCATAGAGTGCTCTTCCCTATCCCAGGATTTCCTCTTATAATTATTCTTTTGGGTAATGTGTGAGTATCAGGTAGTGTATCAAATATCTTCTCTAGTCTGATGGGTCTAAAAACAGAACAGCATATATTGTTTGACTCTGTTAGTACTAAATATATGCTATGGCTTGTATCAAGTTTGTTTTCTACAACAAAAACATCTACCTATTTTATTGTAGCAATGAAATGATAACTTACCGGAATACACCCCTACGTTCTTCTAATTCTAGTTTAGTATAAACATCAGTAAGCCTTATTTCATGCCAATCACACCATGGTATTGGTTGTAGTTTGGATATTATACAGCTATAGTGGTCTTGTAACTCTGATATGCATTCCTTAACTGCTGCCCCTTTAAATGGAAAACAATGTTTTATTAATAATGCTCTATTCTGCTCTGCTGGTTTAATACTAAAATCACACAAATTTCAACTGAATATGTTTTTTAAATCGTCATGATCATTATGCAGGACCGAATATCATTTCATTATATGTTGTTAATGAATAATACATTGAATACTTACCCCATACGTTGTGGGACATATCACCTCTCATTAGTGTTCTATCAGTAGCACAAGTTTGTGGGACGGTATTTTCATATGTCGGCTGGTTCAATGTATGTGCTGGCGGAGCTTCATGGATCATTGTAGAATGTTCACCAATATTAATATTGCTTGAATCTGTCACATTTATTGGCTTGTTGATGGTGATATTATTTGTCTGGTATAATGTAACTGGTCCTAAAAGATAGTAAAAATATTCATAAATGCAAGTCGTGGTAAATTCATTGAATATATTTCTGTATAGTAAAGAGTGATCCCTAGGGGTTATTATGCATCACATGTGCACAATAAACAGTATGTTGCACATGTGTTATTGAATTAGGTAGCTACCAATTACAATTGGGTGTTATTTTGTACAGGTCAAAATATGATGTTTATTAAACTTTGATATATAAATATGATATAGACATAATATGATATAATAATGATGTACAATCAATATTAGGAAATTGTGATTGGTATGAAACAGTGTAATGTGCGTTCACATAATTCTTTATTAATGAGTTTATAAATAATAACATTCATCGTTGAAATTAATAATTTACACATTTGACTCTTTTTACCTTACTGCAATGATACCAATCAGGAACAATTACTGGTATAAAGAAATCATTAGAACCTAGTAATTGTTTGGCTGCATATTTACCTGTTAGTGACGAAGAAGGTATTGTATCAACACTATTCATTCCAGATGGCAGATTTACAGCTGTTTGTGTTTTTTGTTTTCGTGATGAAACGTTCAAATTTGTCATATCCTGACACAGATGACTGATTGGACACATGCGGCGGTGCACACTGTTAGGTTGTGATGGGTTATGGTACAGTTCACTTTGCATTTGACCAACACTGCATGTGCAGGCATCGCCAGAGTCACTATCAAGAGCGGAATATGCAGAAGCCATTCCTGGGTTGATGGAAGGTGGCGCTGCAAACTGGGGGGATTTAAGAACATCTTCCACATTTATACAAGAGTCGTCTCCTATACATACATTCTGTCCAGGAATATAAGCAGCTGCACCATCACCTTCACTACCATCGTCCCCCTTCGTGACAGAAGATGGACTATTTGCTCGATATTCCATCACTGTAGTGAGAACATAAAATAATAAAATACACGAGCGAGAATAAAGATGTGTGAATTGTATAACTTTGAATAGTGGTGACATATGACAGACATATCATTGATTTTATGTGCTAGATCTCGAAAGAGGAGCTGGAAGAAGAAAACAAATAGATGAAAGTAAAAATAAACGTGAAATAACAAGTTTCAAGCACAATCTGATTGTGCTATGGGTGGCTTTGACCCGTCAATGCAGGCACCAATTTAAATAGCCTAGGAAATTAGGTACAATATACACTATAATACTGACATCCCAAAAATGTTACTACTACTTGACTATGATGGCAGACCAACTTATATCCAAAGCAATGTACACAAACGTTATACCTCATAGTACAAGATTGGATGCATACGCTCACAGAAAGTCCCCAATAATGGGTTTGTTATAACACCAGAGAGAGTCAGCTGTAATAATCTGTGTAGGATCCTGGTTGATGTCCCTTGCATCCGTTTTTAACCTTACATAGATTATTACATTTGGCTATCTCTAGTGTCGTAACAAACACATTTTAAAAATATGAATAAAATATTAATATAATATAATAACCATATAATATTTATCATTGGGTTCTGTTTAAATTATTTGATTTAATCAGATTGTAATTATTCAATTTAATTGTATTTCTTTTACTTTACTTATGGTTCAGATGCTCTCAGCTATCAGGTTACGTGAGATTGTTTTCATTTTATAGGACTACACCAACACATGCACAGTGTTGCATGGTAAAACTGTAATTCCATAGCCTGTTTGTTCCAGATACGCAACACAATTGGATAGCTATCATTGAAGCAGTCCAGAAAATCACACATTCAGTCAGTACAATGTTGGACAATGTTTGGGGTAAAAACAACTACAGATGCTTGAAAGCTCCTCAGTGTGAAGTATTTATTTACTGATGACACAGTAAGCATGTACAAAGTTTGAATCTACTTGAGCCAATTGTTTGGATATCAACAAACAAGCTGAAAGGCGTTATTTGGTATGCAAATTATGCTAATTATCACATGCAGATTAATTCTAAAATAGTGTTTGACATTCAACTACAAAAACAGTCAGAATGTATCAAGTTTGAACAAATGTGTAGCAATTGTTGTTGGGATATTACCAACATATGCGGAAATCAACACTGAATTTATCTGATTATCTAATTTATCTAATTCACATGTGTCAATTAATTTCCAAATTAGTGTTAGACATCCAACTACACAAACACTACATATGTACAAAGTTTGATATTAATTGTTGTTAGGATATCAATAAGACATGCTGAAATGAGCTAATTAGTATGCAAATTAGCTAATTAACATATGCAGAATAATTCAAAATTAGTGTTAGGCATTCAATTTCACAAACAGTATGCATGTATCAAGTTTGAACTCATTTGATAAAACTGTTAGGATATCGACAAGACATTTTAAAAATAGTTTGTGCTTTAACCAATGGCAGGCAGAACAAGTAAGATGACTCGATCTCGCTCAGTGAATATAAGTAAAAGAGACCGACACTCAACCTTCCTTGTTGCTGAAGATAAAGCGACTCGTTCCGAATTTTGCTGGCCCACTTCAGCTCGAGTTTTTCACGAGGTTATCAGTGCCACTGCAGGTCAACCTTTTGTCATATTGCACACTTATTCTATTAAGCATAACGAAATCGCCTTATATGCGAGTATAAAAATTAAGGTAAAACACTCTTAAATGGCCGTGACAAAAATTACTGTGATACAATAATAGCTTAATAACTTGCTGTACACGTCTGGAATGGGCGGATTGATAGATGTTTTAGCCATGGAAACTGTCTTAGCATGGCTACGCTAATACTAATAACAACGTCGCCATTTTGATTTAAACAGTGAACATTCGATTGTATGACGACGACATGTTTGTATGATCACTGTACCGTAATGCATCGTAACAGATACATATTACAGGACACAGTAAGCCTTGAATCGCCCTTCATAATCCAAATTTGCATACGTGAATTGCTTTGGCATGCATACGCGCAGATTAAATAACGTACGTCTTGCTACACAAAATAAATACCAAGCTGATTCAATACTCACCAACTAAACACAAGCGCGTGGATAGTAAAGCTAGTCTTGACTTGACACATCGACAGATCTACCGACTCTTTTAAGTGAAGACTTTGTCTATGTGAACTAAATGGGAGTATTATTATTGTCTGAGACATGTTCAATACATACCGACTAAACTTGAGAATTGGTGACCTCATAAACCACATGACCTTCAATCGGGGTTGTTTGTTCGGTATATACGAATTACAATAAAAATACGTATTAAGACATTCCCATTAAAGTGGAACAAATCCCATGATAATGAAATGATAATAACTGTAACAAATCCCAGAATAGTTAACTGAATGATTCAAATAATCCGTAGGGTCACGCCGGGGTCACATTGTTAACTCAACATGGACGAGCACTTGAAAGTAGGTCATGCCGTGACATGCTAGCAAGACATCATTCAACTTAATCTAAGTTTTAACACAATAAAACGGGGATGTGCTATTAGGTCGTGGCATGGTACACATGGAAATATAACATCTCCCAAAAATGACGTAAATTCCCCGACACCTAAAATCGACGCGCGTCTTAATTTTTTTTTTTTTTTTTTTTAAACTCGTGAAAACTAAGAGTATCGTAAATAGCCAAGGTATATGGACTGCATAGTATTCGGAACATGTCAAAAAAATACAGATCAACCCGCGGTTCAAAGTCGACACTTACCGGGACTCTGGTGATCAAAAAAAAAAAAAAAAAAAAAAACGCGACCCGATATTTCATATATTTCGGTCGGTCGCTGAGGGCAACAAAACAATTTTTTTTGGCCTAATGGGCAATGCATACTTCTTTAATTTCTAATTACTGTAGAAAA